TTAATAGTGTTTCATGTTTTCCACCTACAATATTAATTTAATAATTTCATTTACACAAAAAATTATTTGATTGTTTTGATATTTTATAAAATATTATTTAGAATTTAAATTTAACAATATTAACCAAAGATAATAATAAATATATTTTCACAGTGAAATAAGTATGGACACTTTTATAAAAGGGATAAATACTTTACAATATAACATGTAAAAATATGACAAAACCAGATTCATTATGACAAAACCGGTAAAATTTACTTGATATGTTAAAAGTATGGACACTTTTATAAAAAGGATAGATACTTACCGATAACCAAAATTTACCGGTTACCAAATTTTTTAATAGTTTTTTATATTTTCTACCTAAAACATTATTAGTTGCCAACATAATAGGTACCGCTAAACCAAATTTATTAAATACATTTTAATGTATCCGATAATACCATATATTAACCGTATATTAACCCGCCTTTCCTGAAACAATCCCTTTTCACTGCTTGTCAAAATGGAACGTTTTGCTTTCTTTTGATCCGTCGGCGGAAATAGATAGATTTCTTTACCACTTGCCTAGTATTTTACTGCTTTCCTTTCAAAAGGACTATCCATCGTATGAAAGGGAATACTTCTATTTGAAGTTGTGTATGGGTTATTATTTTAATTAATGTTTTTTGGGTTATTTTTCTAATAAATGAATTTTTGGATTTTTTAATAAAAATGCATTTAAGATTAATTAAAAATATTTTAATTGTATTAATGATATTATTTAGTTATTTAAATAATATTAATCAAATTTATATAATTAATATTTAATGATTAATATATTTAATTATTAATATTTATTTTGAATAATATAAAGTAATCATAAACTATTCATAATATTTTTTTAATTATTAATAACACGCGGACACTCGTCCATCAAATTATTCACGCTCAAAATCTTTAAAAAGAAATTTTATTTAACCACTAAAAATCACTCATAAATTCTTAATTAATATAATTTAATTCTTAATATTTACACATTATATAAAATAACAAAATCATTTCGTTTTTGTTAGTTATGAAACTAAATATAGTTTAATTATAATTTTCCACGTGTCAAATTGACACAATACCAACAAATAATCAAAATTATCTACCGAATTTTATTTCCTTTCTTTTAACATTATTATAGATTTCGAATTAAAATGAAATTTTTATTATTGTACTAATTCTTAATTCAAACTTAATTTGAAAGAGGAAAAAGAAAGGTAAAACTACGGATTGAATGAAGTAATCTGCGAAACAGACAACGTTGAAAAAATAAGAAATAATATTGAACGATGTCGTCGCCGGACATTGCTTCAATCTTGGAAAACTCAAGGGAACTCGATCGGTTAAGGAAAGACCAAGAGGAGGTGCTTGTCCAAATCAACAAGCTTCACAAGAAGCTCCAAGCTAGTAATTTTTCTCAGCTTTATATTATCCCTTTAGCTTCATATTTTATGATCTTGGTTTGTTCTGTATTAACAAAATATGGCGTGTGTGTGTGTGTGTGTTTTTTTTAATGTTTTTAAGTTGTTTGGCTCTCTGGGTTTTTAGTTTCTTTTATTAAATTCATGTTTTTTTAGGTAGGTTTAGTTTTAAAAAGAGGTTAAATTTCGTTGATGATGGATTTTATTGGATAAGGGAGTTATTTCCGTTATACATTATTGCCGATTGTTTTCGTTTATGATTTTCTTTTTGTTGGTTTATTGAAGAAAACAAATACTGGAGTAGTGTGATCAAATAGGAAAGGAATAGTTTCTCTTTGTAGTTTGAACATAATTTGATTCTAAATTGTGGTTTAAAGTTTATAGCTAGCAAGTGTTTAAGGTAATTTCGGTGTGTAAATTTTGCCTTCTTTGATCCGAAAAAAAAAATTCGATTTACCTGAAATGGCTGCTCAAGGAGCTTAGTTTTCATGGAGAAGGCAATTGTGTTGTTTAACTTGTTACATACTTGTAAATCCATATTGAGAGTGGTTGGTTTTGTATACATGTAGAGCAATGCTCCAATGCTTCATGTGTAATTACCTTGTAGCCGGTGAGCATCGAAATATCCATTTAGTTGCTTTAATTAAGATTTCATTATTATCATACAATAATCCTGTTCCTGATATTTATTTTGCAAAAATGTTTTGATTGCCTTAGTTGAGAATGTTAGTATGAAAGAGGTCCGGATTCAGAATATTCTACAAATTTAATAGCTAATTGTATTTAATTGCAACAACACGGAAATGAAAAATTTTGTTGTCGATTCATTGGGGCTTAAGATTGATACGTGGTTTCTTGGATTATAGAAGTATCATAGAAGGAATTTTGAGATCCATAGTCATTGTCGGTTAAAAAACTATATTTGGAATCCATACAGGATGCATTATTTTGAATATCGGGAATCTATCAAAGAAGTGATTTATTACACCTTTAATGGTTATAAAACTTACCGAAACCCCCTGGATGTAAATGATTAAGTGTTGTTTTATTGACTTAAGAGTAGTTTTTCATTCTTTGTTTTACTTTAGCTTTTGTGTTCTTTATTAGCTGTTACCGATTGTTTTTTGCTAATTTTCAACTTCTTTATAACTACGCAGCTCCCGAGGTAGTTGAGAAACCTGGTGATTCTTCATTATCAAGGCTAAAAAGTTTATATGTTCAAGCTAGAGATCTTTCGGAGAGAGAAGTAGCGTACGTCCATTATCTTCATTTAAGTCTTATACCATTTTTTTTATACTTAGCGATGAACTTTCTGGTTTGGTTTGGTAGGACTTACATGATTCTCATTACCATATTCTGTCATTTATGAATACTCACTGTTTTGGCATTGATACAGGATTTCCAGCTCGTTACTAGGTCAACTTGACACTTTTCTGCCATCTGGACCTCCGGGACATCAACGAAGAAAAATGGGTGTGTGCTACCCACCATGTCTGTATGAGACATTTCTGTTGCTTTTTAACTTCTGTATCGAGTTCTCTCTTTGCATGACGATATTCTGGGATCTTGAAACTTGCATTCTTATAATGCTTTAGTTATGTAGTAGTTGAAGAGGATGTTAAGATATAGCTGTAATTTTCTGCAGTTTGATTTTCTCCGTCTTATTTTGTTTCCATTCTTTCGGATCTAGAAGGTTGAATAGCATGTGGCAAAACAGAAGTCATTTTCATGTGTAGATTTGAGATACTTGAACGAACGAATCTGAACATCCTACCTGTGTAGCTAACATTAAACAAATTGCAGATGGTACTGATCAGAAAAGGAAAAGAATGAAATCTGATTCAGATATCTCTCGCATTTCTCCTTCTATCCGGAGTCATATTGAGGCTTGTGTTAGTCTCAAAGATGAACAGGCAAGCTTGTAGACCATAGTGGTCCATGCAGCTGTCACAATTTATTCGATCATTGTTTTTTGTTCTTGGACCTAATTTACTTTCCCTTCCCTCTTGTACTCAGGTGGCTGCAAGAGTCACCTCAGATGCTGAAAAGGACGAGTGGTTTGTTGTGAAAGTAATAAATTTTGATGAGAAAACGAAAGAGTAAGTACGATTCATATAGGACATTTCATTTTGGCTCGTGTGAGAATTCCATTTAGAATCATTTTTATTATTGTCTGTAAGTTGAATCTCCATATGCAGATTTGAAGTACTCGATGAGGAGCCAGGTGATGACGAAGAGGGCGGTGTCCAAAGGTAAGCTTTTATGCTTCATTCTATATCATTCTTGTTCATATTCTTTACTTTTTGGTCCATGGGACTACCGTGTTTTATTTTTTATGATGATTGAGACTGAATTTTGCGATTATATCAAGATTCAAACATCTTATTTCTGTTTTTCAATATTTTATATGGCTGGACTTAGTTGATCCAGAAGATCTCGATTTCTGTTATTGCGATTTCAGGAAGTACAAGCTGCCTGCACCTTGCATTATACCGTTCCCCAAGCGGAACGATCCTTCTAGTACTCAAGAATTCCCTGCTGGGAGACAAGTTTTGGCCGTTTATCCAGGAACAACTGCACTCTATAAAGCAACTGTCATCAGTACACCTCGAAAGGTGACTATTCCGGTCATCACCGTCATCATTCAATACCCAATATATATACTTTTGGATTATTTTGTATTTTTTTATACATTTTCTAAAACAATAAACTGACTATGAATCTTCGTGCGCATACTCGCTGGGGTTATTCAACATATCGTATCTTTACAGAGGAAATCCGACGAGTAAGTAACGTCCTCCATTCCGATGAGTAAAAAAACCCGTATTGTTTTGCCCGTTTGTGTTCTTCCCCATTTTGTAATCTTCCCCATAATGATATAATTATTATCAATAATAATAATAATCTATTATTTGTTACGTGTTGCTGAAATGCATGACCATTTTTTCTGTTTTCGTGTAGGTATTTACTGGAATTTGATGACGATGAAGAAGAAGGAGCTTTGCCGCAGAGGACGGTGCCGTTCCACAAAGTGGTTCCATTGCCGGAAGGGCATAGACAATGAGATGTGTGTATAAAAATGTGTATAATGAGTTGGCTTTTTAAACATGTTAGTGGACCCTGATTTTCATGTATGGGATTAGTAATGAAAGATTGACAACTTATATCCATTTTTGTTACTTAAAGTTCTTTAATGCTTCCTCATCAGTAGGTTAGGGTTGCCATTGCACTCGGACTCGAGCATTATCATTGATGCATTGTAAATCCCGACGTATATATGCATGTGCTATTTTGTTTCTTTAGGGAAGCTTTTTTTTTCTTCTTTTTTTGAATGAGTGGCTAAATCTCTAGTGTTTTCTTTTCTTTTTTCCTTCTCTTTCAAGAAATCAGTTCAGGTTTCAAGTAAATCAATTGTTTTTCTTTAAACCCTTTATAGTTTTTTCTTTCATTATGGCTTTTCTAATAGCATTTTTTTGGTTGGGGGGGGGGGTTTAAAAGATTAGTGACCATCGCTTTTGTTGGATCTATCGAGCCCCGTTAAATAGATGCCCTCTACCAGGTCTTTTCCAGTTAAAAATATGTTTACAAAGATACATACAAAAACAAGAAAACATGATGTAAAACTAATACTGGTTTACGTACTTAATAACACATCCTTGGGTGTATAAGAAAATAATCACCTACAAAGCTTTTCTTTCAAGGGTTATAGATATTTGCAGCAACCAGCAGGAAGTATACTTTATATAACTTCATCCACATTCCACAAGATGACAATTCATCTTCATCTTTGGCCCTCTAGTCCTATTACAAATTTTCAGGTACAACAGAAATCTTCTTCTCAAATGGCAATCTTTCTTCCTCTTACATCAGTGGCTACAACTTTCCAGTCTGCAATTAAAGAAAACGAAAAAACATAAATCAGTTTTAGAGAAACAGACAACGCTTGATAACCTATTACTTACGAATACAAGTAGCATTCAAGACAATTAGACTATGTTGCTCGAATGCTCGGACTAGTAGGATAAAATAAGTGTCAAATATGAGTATGTGTCATAAATAGATTTGTTCAACTTTTTCCTAGTGTTTCTATATCCCAATATGACGACTCAGAGGAATATGGCAATCAGCAAATGCAGGGATTAAAGTACACCGACCACCATAAATCAAGGGAAGATACTGGGCTAAGAGAATACCTGGAAGGGAAAAGATGTAAATTCACATCGTCATAAACCCATCATCACTCCACAACTTCTTTCGTGCAATTAACACTGTTTCCTCACCAACAGAGAGAGCATCGGTTCCTGGTTTGACTTCGGATAACCAAGCATCCCACAGCAATGCAGAGATAAATTTCTTGATATGACTTATAACTGAGCTTTTATCCCTCATAATGACAAACCCACCTGGCCTCAGTATCCTATCCATTTCAATCAAGAGATCCTCTGCACTACAACCATGCTCCTCAATCTTAGAAAATACTGCCCAGGCATGAAGAAGATCATATGTTCTTGGGTATGTAGAAAAAGCTTCGCACCTACAAAGGCAGAGGTGAAAGTATGGTGCATGGTCAGGCCAGGGAAGATACTACACATATCTGATTATCAGAATAATGTTACATGACAAAAAGATGAAGAAGATGGAATTATGGATGCATCAATATATAAAAGTTTAAGCATACCAATCATGAACAGTACCAATCAGGCCTCGATCATAAATAATTTTCAATCTTGCAGACATTTTTACGGGAGCAACATTCATTACCCAAACATCTTTATCTTTAAGGGCAGCGGCAAACCCCCCAAGGTTTGAATTCATATCCATGATATTTCTGAAGGAATTCTTCTCTATAACAGACTTCATCTGCTTCCAGTATCCAATTACTCTAGAATGCCATATTCTCTGTATAATAAACGTATCTCAGTCATCAAAATTCAACACCATATAGTGGAAAGCAACAAAAAGATCTAGATGAAGAAAGAAAAGAAAACTAAAGAACATGATATTCCCCTATGATCTTAGAAACTTACAGTATCTTCAAGGAATTCCTCAGCATTAACTCCGATTTCTTGAAGACGAGGTGGTGCTGCAGTAAGCCTTTGTGGCCAAGGACGTAGTCCACTCCATCTTTCTTTGTTCATCTCTGCAGCATCAAACAAGGGTTGAGTTCACTTAGGGGGTGTTTGGTTCAAGGATTGTGGGATTCTCATAGGATGGGAATCCCACAATCCCATGTTTGGTTGGCCGAGAATCTCATTCTCGGTAATGTTTTATTATCAATAGTAGATTTTTTTGAGTATATTAATGGAAATGTCATTACCTCCCTTCCCTTAGGTATTGTAACATTACCGGCGTTTTGGACTAAAATGCTCTTAAATTTTTTTTTTTTCAAAAATATCATTCTTCTGTCTTTGAATAATAAAAATTTTACGAAGGTTAAATTATAAATTTATCCTTAAATTATTTTAGATTTACAAAAAAAAATCTATAATTAAAATTTTATATGAAGTTCAGGGGTTCAATTTTTTTTTATCATTTCATTATACCTTTTTTATATTTTTAATTTTGTAAAAAAATTATATAAATATTATGAATTTAATTTTTTAAAGAAAATATATAAATATTTTACAATTTGTAATATTATACAAATATATAATAAAGACAATTTGGTCAAATATACATTCCAATAATGTTTTATTCCTTTAACCAAATACGGTAATCTTATATTACTGCTAAACCAACCAAACACAAAATACAACATTCCCAGTAATCTTATTCTCTGGTAATCTTTTATTCCCACTGATAATCTTACATTCCGTGAACCAAACGCACCCTAAGAGTTTCGAAAATGTTTCCAATTTTTGGGGCAGCAAACTACTCTAATATTGTTATTAACATAATATGTGATCATTTATGAATATAAACCATATGAAATGTCCATCGACCAGTAAACAGAATTTAGAATAAGAAAGCATTCCGCAATTATCAATGTCATTGTATGCACAGCAGTTCAACTTACTTGCAGAGTAAGGAGTTATGCATGCCTTCATAGACACATTCCAGCTGGCATCTGGGTCATCGCCAGAACTGCACAAAGGAGGCTGAGTCCCAGGATCTCTCTTCAAATAGCAACTATTGCTCAGAGGCTTAGACCATATAACAGTTTGGCCTCGCTTTGCAGCAACTTTCCAGCACATTCTTTTCAAAAGGCTGTACATTGCATTCCAGATCTTTCTATTTTCCGGATCTTGTTCATAGGCTTCAGGAGAAGAATATGCAAAGTACCCTCCTGGTCTCAGTAATCTATCAAGTTCCAGTAGGAGAATACCATCTCTCTGAAGCCAGTCTATTCGGCATCGGGAACAATGAGCTAGCTCAAATGATCTGCTTGGATATGGAAGCCTTTTTGTTCCCAGCACACCAAGTGTCGAAGGGATACCCCTTTCTAACGCAAATTGTATTTGATTCTCATGTACATCATTAGGTGCAAGGGACATGGCTATAATATCAAGAGGTAGGAGATAGGCTCCAAAACTTGCAACTCCACATCCCACATCAAGAACATTTCGTATATGTCCACCATTGTGAAGTTTATCACCAGGAAATTTCAGCATCTACACAAATAAAATGATTCAACATCATGCTATAAACAAGTACACAAGTGTTTAGAAAGTTGAAATTATTAAGTTCAGTCAATATAAGAATCATTAACCCAGTAAACCGGTAACATATACCTGAGCAAGACCAACGATATACTTATCAGCACCATCATGAAAATGGGTTCCGCCACCAGGAAATTTTATTTTCTCCCCATCAACAATCATCCAATGCTGATCCGATTTCTCCTCCGCAAGATGTGTGTGGGGAATATTAGCTTTCCACACTTCATCTCTACTAGTAGGCCATCTTATAGGGATCTGAAACTCTAACATTAATCACGTTGATATTGAAACTAACTAAATTACATCAAGCTAGACTTTCAGACTTAGCAGAAAGAACCATCACTAACCTTGTAACCTTTCGGTGGCGGAATTAAGCAATTGTAACGACGCTCCGGCGGCGGACAATGCCGCTCATAGTGTTCCATTACTGACAAATTAGGCTTTAATTTCAGCTGGTATATAAGGTTTCTATCTAAGCAGGGTATCAACTCAGAATATTTGACGTCACATATCTGTAACTCATAAAACACCCTCATTTAGCCAAAGTAATAAACAAAATCCAAAAGAAACACAATGTAATTTGTGATATAAAGGAAAAAAAAACAAATGAGAAAAAAAAAGGAACTAAAATCGATAACTAAAAGGAAAAGAAATTTCGGCTAATAAAAGTGCAGGACTTACAGGGATGCTTTTAGGAGCTTCCGGATAGTACGTTTGCTCGTCAAGCAAATCAACCAAATCTCTGTGCCTTGAAAACCGACCAAAAACCGGGTCGGATCCATCCAACAGAGAATTATTTTCATCGGATCTCCTCGACCCAGGAGCAAATGAAGATCCATAGTACAGACAAACCAATCCGAGAGCAGCAATTAAAGCGATTAAAACGTAAGTTAATAATTTCGTAGTATGATTTTGGCCGTTCTTTTGCTTCATTTCGTGAACTGAAAATCCTAAATTAAAAACGATGCAAATCTAAAACCCTAGAATTAATTTTCCTTTTAAATCTTCTTGGTTGAGTGTTGAAATTTGAGTGAGAGCTAAGGAAAAGCTCTATACTCACAGATTTAGCTGAGCTGATTTTGGCCGTTCTTACGAATGATTGTATACAGTCAAGTTGATTCGTTTGAAAAACACATGACTAATAATATGATCACACGTGGCAATACATAGGATATCAGCGTTTGCAATTGACTTGAGGACTAAATGGTCTTTGTACATGTATTAGCTATATTACAGATTTACGGTGTTAGGGTTCAGAGAGAGTGCAAGAGATACGGATAAATTGAAACGCACCGTGCTTTTCACTAAGAATATGAGAGATTGGAAGGTTAGGTTTGGGTTGACGTTCCTGTTCTTTGGAATTGTGTAACCGGCGGTAGAAAATGGAACCGGACAAGATTCTAACATCGCCTTTCGCTTCCCAAGTGGCTTTAATTTCATTCTCTCCATTTCTAGTACTACTATTTTTTTAAAATATGAACTTCAACTTTTAATTTTTTAAATTTATACGTAATCTTTAATTTTTGTTTCATTTTAATAACCGGTCGTTAAAAACTTAATGCATTTAGTACCTAAATTATAAATTTTTCCTCATTTTAATACCTAAACTTTCATTTTTTTTCCAAAACTAAACGTTAAGTTTTGAACATGGATACGAAAATAAAATGGAAACTAAATATTAGGTGTGATTTTGAAAATATTAAAAATTTATGTACTAAAACATATTAAATTGATAACTTAGGTACTAAACATATAGTTTACCCCAAATATAATTATACATTTTAATGAATAAATTTTAATTATGACTGTTGGAGAACTTATCAAATAGATTTTATATTCGAACAATTATGTCTATAGAATATATATATTATCAATACCTAAAAAAAATATGAATAGATACGATCATATAATCATTTTAAATTATTAAAAAATATAACCGTTGGAATAGACCGAATTAACCAATAGCACGATTGCCTTATTGTTGGGATCAATGGCATAGAATAAGATTTTAATCGGCCTCTGGAACAGTTAAAAAAAGACTAGAATTTGGAATCCGGTAAATCGGGTTTAGACAATTGTTTTGATATATTTTTTTTCTATTAATATTAGCCCAAACCATGGGCAGGAGCCCGTCTCATTTTGCTTTACGTTTTACCTCAATTTTCTTTGAAAAAATTTTGCAATTACTTTTTAATTAATTTTTACTACTCTTTAAGTGGGCAAAAATTTAAGATAATGATAAAAAAGTTACTCGAATAATAATTAATCAAAATTATTTGTTCGAATAATGCATTTATTATTGTACAAGACTATATCGCATTATGATCAACGTGTTTCTATTTTTTTTTTACATGGGAGATGCATTGTGGTCATTTGACTTTAACTCGCATGAAATACCACGTGTTTCCCTTTTTTTTATATGGGAGACGCATTGTGGTCAGAAATGGTCAAAAGTATTTTCATACATGTTCCATGCAGAGCTAGGTACAACTATATCGAGCGATGTCCTGCTCATTAGGTACAGGTATATCGAACAATGTCCTGATAATCCATACCTTAACACTATAAGTTGCTGAAAAAAAATATTTGAGTGTTTTTGAATATTATTAAATTCACATCTTTGTTTTATGGGATCAAAAATCAAATTAAATTCGAAATTATAAAGTTCATTGCAAAGACATTAATTAATCGACTAGGTACCGTTTTAGGGAGTTGTGGGGTGCTAATCATTCCCTACACGTAACCGATTCCAGAACTCGGATTTTGGTAACGCAGACCTTAATTTGTTGTTTTAATTAAAATTAATTTTTATTTAAAATAACGAACATTTTTGGGTGCCCAATCACACCCTAATTAAATATTGGTGGCGACTCTTTGAACCGTATTTTTTCGATCGTAAAGGAAATCCAAAATTTTTCGAAACGAGAGGTTTTTAAATCGTATTTGTTTTTAAATTAAAAATCAGTTGAAAGAGATAATTAAAAAATAATGTGGTTTTCAAAATCTCACCTTAAAGGGAAAAATCGTTTCGACAGCTTGGCGACTCCACTGGGGACTTTTTTTTAGAGAGTCAGGCTGATAGTCGATTAATTAATTGTCTTTGCAATTGAAAATTATAAATTCGTTTTAATTTGTTTTTTGATCCCTTGCTTTGTTTTTAATAAGTTTTGTTTGTATTTTGATTTCTTTAATTGAATTCGATTGACAATTAAATAGTTGTACTGATATGTTTGCTAATGGTTTCAAATTAATTGTGTGAATTTAGGAAATTTTGAGTGTCTTTATTGTGTGTTTTTTTCTTTTCTTTTCGCTTTTCCTCACACACTGCACAGTTGCATTTTCATGACATGAGCTAAAACCCCGCACCGTCCTATTTAAGTAGGAGTGAGAGACTATGCCCTCGTGTGGTTTTCACCTCCTCATGGGATAGTGGATCGCTCCTAAAGCTCACGCCTTATGGTCCTCGTGATGGTAATCACCTCCGCATGGACATAAGGAGGTGTGTTCCCTCGAAATTGAACTCGATCCCCTAAAGCTTGTAATGGGCCAGGATTGAGGGTTCGGCAGCCCAAGGGGCACTGGCAAGGACAATTCGAGAACCTATTACTTTAGAACCGAACCCAGCATATAGTAAACATAGAGCCCGAACTTAGGTCGAGCCTAACCCGAACCCTAAGAGTCCCGTGAGGAGGGTACACAAGGAAAAGCTTTTTGAGTCATTTATTTTCACTTTTCGAATAAATGCATGCGAACTAGAAATCATGCGGTTAGGTTTATTTTTCTCGAACAAGCATGCGAATTAGATATCATGCGGTTAGGATTTTTGTTAATAACAAAGCATAGGGTAGATATCATATTAGGTAGGATCTACTAAAGTATGATTAAGTAGCCAGCATGCAAGGGTAGGTTTTATTTAATGATTATGATATTTATTATCTTATTGCTGATATTATGTGTACTAACCCATTTTTTTTCTATGTCTATTTTATTTTGATTTTATTGTATTCGCATCTTCATGTCATCACAAGGTGTTAATTCGTAAGTGATTGACTAATAAGAAGGCTGGTCATAATGAAACAAGAAATTCTTAACCATGTAGTCAAAATCAGGAGGTTCAAAGATGTTCAGATGATCCATGAAGAAGGACATCCGATGAATGAAGAAATCTGAAGCTGATTGAAGACTTTCTTTAAAAGAGTGAAGGCCAAGATATTCTCTCAGAAGATAGATACAATTATACCAAGGACAAGAAGACCCTTCACAAAGACATGAAGATCATTTCGTATTGAAAGTAAAAATGGAGACCTCAAGATTCAATTTAAAGACATCTGGCGTCATCAAAGGTGATAAAGTACGCCGACAACTTTGGGTGCAATATTAGATTCCATGAAGAGTACGGCTCAAGGAAATGAAGAAATGAAGAATCACATTTATATTTTGACTACATGGTGTACTGAATTCTTGTTGTCTAAATGAAGGTTGTTCTATGGTGGTCACTTTTGGAATTAACACCTTGTGCATTTGCATTTGCACTTGCATTCTTATTAGCATTAATTTATATATTTTGTTATTGTTGCTTTTTGTCATTTTGTTATCTCATTTGTAGTAACTTGTTTTTGTGTTGTTTTTCTCTTTGTCTGCATTGCATGATCATGACATATTCAAAAGGTGTTGATTTGTGAGTGGTTATCATAGTAAAAGGTTTTCATGATGGACAAGGGGTTTCGTGATCAAACAGACTATAACACAGTCAAGAAATGGCATTGTGAGAAAGCTTCGAAAATAGTGGAGAGTTGTGCACATAAAGATCATATGTCAGACGAAGAGCACAAGGAGATAAGAGAGATAAAAGAGCAGATGTCCAAGATGATGGATAGAATAGATGTTTTGTCCAAAGGAAGAGAGACTTCTACAAAAGAAAAGAAAGAACTCAATGAAAACAATCTCGAGGTGTCATATACACAAGGGACTACTTTAGAACCTGTTGATTCTAGTCAGTATGAGAAATCAAGCACAATCATTGTTCGTATCAACAAGTTGTTTGGAAATGACAAGGAAATAATGGCAACTATAGAAGTTCAGAAGGATGAAAAGAAGACATGCAGTCAGAACTCGTTGGTGTTTGATAGTTTACTCCAAACAACAAGGAAAATAAAACTAGAAACTCTAGTTCAACCCAAGTTGAGAGGTGACTCTCGTTGTGATTCCATCCCAATATCATATATGAAATTGTATGATGAATTGTTAGAAGCCCGAGAAGTGGCCCCGCATTATGTGAAACCTTTGTGACCTCCATATCCAAGTTGGTATGACTGCAACGTTCGTTGTGAATATCATGCTGGAATTCAAGGACATTCTATTGAGAATTGTTCTACCTTCAAACGTCGAGTCCAACTTCTTCTAGATCATGGAGTATTGGAGTTTGAATTAAAAGGATAACCCAGTTTGAAAACAGATTATCCTGTTAAGTTTGAACCAAAAGTGACCGAAGGTAAGGGTATCAGCGAGGACATCCAGGAAGAAAATTGTTTGCCAAAATACGAAGCTCTGATTCGTCATTTGAGAAGTGAAAATGATAAATTGAGCAGAGAGATGAAAGCCATGTGAGATGATTTTCAAAGGATCAGTCAAGCTTTTAAATTTGCTGGTATGGGAAATGTCCCAGATGAGTGGATAACAGGAGTCGCTAAACTGAAGAATGACACTGAACAGTGGAGAAGGAATTGTAAGGTGCACGAGGGTCGAGCCGAGAAGTTTTCTCATGATTTACAGATTACAGAAAGAAGGTGCAATATAGCTATTGATAATTTGGGAAAATATCAAACCGAAAATCAGATGTTGAATAAGTCCATTGCCAATATGGAAATTTCATATCAACGCCACAATCGGGAGAATGACGCTGAGCTAGAAGCCGTTAGAGCCAAGAACAAGAAATTGATGAAGATTGTGGATGATTGTAGTGATCTTATGCAAGAGCTTCATAACCACAATGACTTTCTTGCAAGGAAGATTCAACAGCAGTGTCTACAGCTCCGAGAATCGGCACTCAAGATAGAGAAAAGAGACAACGTCA